GACCTAAAATGTTGCCGTAAAAGTCATGGTGACCATATAGCATTCATTCAATTCCTTTGCCAAAAATTTTTTCTGAGCACCTACTATGTGCCAGCCATTCTTCTGGCGCTGGGGATACAGCAGCCAACAAAACACACAAACATCCCTGTCCCCATGGAGCCTACATTCTAGCGCAAGCTTGATCTCAACTCCTTCCTCACACTATGGCCTTTATCTCCTTGACAAACCAATTAGGTAGGTATTTTCAAACCCATTTTTTTTTTCAGACAAAAAAATTAAACTCTGCCCCAAACCAAATAGCCAATAAATGGCAAAGCCAGGTTTCAAACACTGACCGAATGTTAAAGTTTATGCTTATAAAAACGGTTCTGTTTCATTTCTGTGCTGCCGAATGATTTTGGTGGGTGCAGAGGAAAGCCTAAGGGTTGAGGGGCTTGAGGCCTATAAGGCCAGACTGCTAGGCCCCTCCCGTGGGTGCTGAGTTCCCCAAGAGTGAAGGGAGAAGCTGAGGTACAGAGGGCAATGGGACCTTGGCACTGAAGTCCTGGGAGAAGTGAGAGTGGGCTGTGAAGGGTGATTAAGGGGAAGTGTGGACTTCAAGGCTGAGTAGGTAACAGAGCATAAAGTAGGGGCAGCCCTGGTGGAGAAGCCGTGGGAGAAGTCCTGTCCTCCATGTGGAAGGTCTCAGATAAGGAGGCGCAAGAGGCAGGCGTGGCAGAAGCAGCTGAGGTTGGAAGAGCATCCAGAGCATCATGTCAAAGGCTTATAGATGGATGGACAGAGGGCTAGGGTGGGAGAAGGAATTCGTTTTCAAAGAATTGGCAAGGAAGCTGGGAGCTGGGGACGCAAGTTCAAGGAAAAGCAGGAGAGCAGCACCTCCCTGGAACCCTGGGAGAGGGGGTTGAAGGGTTGCATGTGCCCCATTCCAAGTGGAATGTCAGAGCGGGCAAGTCCAACTGCAAACTTACCTGCCTAGGTGTGTACCACTCATCAATGGCCTCCTCTCTGCCTCTGGTGCCGGGAAAAGAAGGATTTGGCATCACCAGAACTTTCCAGAAAAGCTTGACTTTTGCTAGTCTGCACCACTGAATTCAGAGGTATTTGTGATTACCAAACTGGGAAGAACAAGGACATTACCAGGTTTACATTATATTTCACAGCTGTACCAACTCATTATAACCTTGCCAGGAGCCTCTGGTGACAGCAAAGCCTTGATTAGTGGAAACACGCTTTAAAACTTCTGAGATTTCCAAATTGTCTAGCTAAAAGGTATGGAAGGGGGTGATCTGGGTGGTTCGGCCTGGAGAAAATGCCCACAAAATATAAGCTAGAGATTTCTTCAGCTGTCTTTTAAAGTAGTTGATCTGTTCTTTTTGATTCATGTTTTTCCAAATTTGTAATTGTAAAGGTTTTGTTGAAGTGGGGGCAAGGCGGAGGGGTTCATTCCAGTTTTACCAAATAGTCCTAGAGGTCAGTGGTGTACACATATAGGAATGGATACATGGGGTGGAGGGAGAAGAGGGTTTCCAATTTATAGGGTCTACACTTTACTCTGTATATGAATCACCTGGGAGCTTGTGAAAACGCAGAGGCTGACTCAGTGAGTTGAGGGTGGAGCCTGCGATTCTGCATGTTTAGCCAGTTCCCAGGTGCTGCTGGTCTGCAGACCGGTCCAAAGTTAACTTCAAAAAGACGGCTTTGTGTCTGAGGTAAGAAGGCTGTGAACCAATCCATTAAAACATATTGGGCATTAAATGTTATGTATAATAGGATGATTGTAAAACTTGCAGCCAGAATTGGGAGGTTTCAATCCTGATTCTACCATTTTTTAGCAATAACATTTTAGGCAAATCGTGGATCCTCTCTGAGTCTTGGTTTCCTCATGTAAAAAAAAAAAAAAATGGAAGTAATAAGATCTGTCTGGGTTGCTTGACCACAGGGTAGATGTGAGGATTAAATGAAACAACTGAGTGAAAATGCTTTATAAACTGAAAGAGCTGTGCATGTATTATTATTACTACTTGTAGTATTATTATATTACTTAAGCTAAGTAAACCTGAGTGATAGCTCCCCTTTCTACTGGTTTTATTTTATTTTTAACATTGACAAGTGTTTGCATCCATCTGACACTGTGTTAAGCACAGCAAGAATTGTTTGGTTTACTCTTCACAACTTTAATAACGTTAGTAGTACAATGTTAGCCACATTTTACAGGTGATGGAAATAAGACTTGGAGCATTAAGATTATGCTTAGGCACTAAGAGTTGTGATGGAAACTCAGCCTGACTCTCCAAAATTCAAACTCTTATTCACTACTCTTAGTTGACTCATTGTAACAAACACCCAGCATCACAGAAGAAGGTGATGGTTTAGAATAGGAGTTGGCCAACTCTTTCTGCAAAGGTCGAGATGTTAAATATTTTAGGCTTTGCATGCCACGTGTAGGTCTTTTGCAATTACTCAGCCCTGTCTCAAATGCCGCCCTTGACAATACATAAAGGAATGGGCGTGGCTATGTTCCAATAAAATGTTATTTACAGGAACAGGTGGCAGGAATGGATTTGGCTTGTGGGCTACCGTTTGCTGATTCCTGGTCTAGAAAATTCTGACCTGTCCAATAGGGTGGCTGTTTAGATTTAAATTAAAAATTAAGTTACTCAGTGACATGAACCACATCTCAAATGTTCAGTAGACACACGTGGCTAGTGCCTGCTGTATTGAACAACACAGAGAACATTTCCACCATCCCAGGAAGTTTCACTGCAGAGCCCTGGTCTAAGTCATCACTGAGGGTGGGGGCGAAATCTCTTGCAAAATAGCTGTAAGGACCTGGCATTTCTGAGTCCTGACTTTGCTAGTTCACCAGCTCTACGACTCTTAGCAAATCACACCACCCACCAGAGCCTCAGTTACTGCACACATACCTTCCTCACTGTGTTGTGGTGGGAACTGAACAAGAAAACATGTAAAAAAGCACTTTGTAATCTTAGGAGCTGCACAAACACAAGTCATCATTAGGATTCTAAGTGGTACATGAAACGTGAGAAAATGTATGGAGGCAGAATTTGTGTAGGTAGCTGGATTGAGAGAACCATATCTCCTTTTAAATCGCCCAATACATGCTACTAGGATGTCAGAGAGTTACCAAAATCAGGAAATATTTGTACAATATTCTAATTTTTCAACAGGAAAGATCTCAGTGGTCATTCATCTTTCAGAGCTTGGGATTGACTTCGTAATGCTTAACACCTTCAGGAAACAGATGCAACTGTCCAGATAGGAGCTGGGATGAAACTGGGTGGGTCTCAGTGGCCTTCCTGAATGAGACCAAAGGTTTATTCTTTGTCAGACTCCAAGTTAAGGAGGATGGAGTCTTTTCCCGCTGCTTCTCCTTCACGGGGGACCCCTTTGAATTGCAGCCCCTGAAGATCCCCACATGGATCAAGGACAAAGCTCAATTTTGCCTCAGAGTGAAAGACCAGCCCTTGGTTTTAACATCCCTTAGGTTCCCCGTGCCATTTTCCTCCTCCTGTTCCTCATCCCAGCTGGAAATCACCTTTCCAGGGAAATTCCTGCATGCTCTCACTTCCCTCCCCATCACTCCACCGTCTCCTCTGTCCTTCAGGACCCTACGTGCCAGGCTACCCTCCACTTCTAGGCCATGTCGCTGTTGTCACTCATTGGAGTACACAGAGGGGAAGTTTGCTTCCTGTTTAGTGCTGGGTACAATCCTCCTGCTTTCTGTCAATTACTGGGAGTTACATTTTATATTCTTTCTTATAGCTCAGCGGTTCTCAACCTGTGGGTCGCGACCCCTTTGGCGGTAGAACGACCCTTTCACAGGGGTCGCCTAAGACCATCCTGCATATCAGATATTTACATTATGATTCATAATAGTAGCAACATTACAGTTATGAAGTAGCAACAAAAATAATTTTATGGTTGGGTCACAACATGAGGAACTGTACTTAAAGGGCCAGAAGGTTGAGATTCACTATTATAGCTCTTCTTCTGAGCATATTAGAACTCATCTCATGCCTCTCTATCTTCTCTCCCTTCTCTCCCATTTCCTTTCAACTTTGTTTTTCTTGCTCCCAACGTACCCTAAGATTCCCTCTCTGCTCTCCAGCTACCCTTGCCTGTCAGGTGGAGTGAAGGTTCCTGTTCTCAGACCACCAGCTGCAGATGGTGTACATTGGTCGAATCTTTAAAAAAGTAATTTGGGAATATTTTTCTAAGTCTTTAAAAATGTATATATTGTATTCCCAGTATTTCCACTTCCAGGGAAGTATCCTAAGTAAATTATAGAGATGCCCTGGAAATGACTAAATAAGGAAATTCATTACTGCATTATTTATAATAGTAAAAAAAAAAATAGAAAAAAATCTAACGATCAATAATAGTAAAAGAATTAAAAAACCCATCACATTTAAAATGGAAATACATATACCAAAATATTAACAGTGCTTTTGTTTGTATACCTGTGGGGTATCTCTGCTTATCCCTGGAGTACCAGTGATTTTTATTTTCTTTTGCCATTTTCTATTTTTTATAATGTGCATATATGGGGCATCCCCCCAAAAAGTAATACTTTAATAGCTGATAGCTCAATTTTAAAAATGAAATGTTTAATAGACACTGCCTTTATAATTATTCCAAGTGTATGTATACATTTTGGGGGGATACCCTATATATAATCAGAAAGAGGTCATACAAATAAAGGTTCCCACCTCCCTAGCCCGGCTATTTTGTACTGCTCACTAATATTTCCACACAGAGCTACACAGCCACGATGGCTTTGGAATTTGGACCCTCACTGTTAAATCATGTATTGAGTCAGTCAACAAATAGTTACCCGGCCTCTTCCTTCCCATCGTGTGCTGTCTACCGAGCTAGACATCCTTCAGGCAGAATGGAATCAGTACAAGAACAGCTGGTGCTCCTTGAGGCCTGGAGAGATCCCAGTGTTCTCCCTCTAACAGTATTTAGGGCAGGCCTAAGCTGTAGACCGAAGGCATAATCACAGCATCTGTGTTGATTGTGTGCTTTGCAGTTGGCTAAGGAAATTTACCAAAATGGATCACATCTTGGACAGATCAGATGATGAGGACAACATTTTCTTTGAAAATCCTCAAACGGACTCGCTTCAAGAGGCAGCCACTAAAAAACGGGTAAGGGAGAGACTTCAGTGTCACGGTGGGGAAGAGAGGAACTTCTTATCTCCAAGCGGAAAGGCAGTCTCCGAGGGTTTCCTCGTGGTACATCCATGCAAGACCTCCTGAGCTTGCAACCAGGAGGGAGGCTCTGTCTCTGAGGGCTGCTGTGAGCACTGCAGAGGCGTGCTAGCCTAGCCGTCTGCAGGAAACGGTGCAGCACTTGTTACTCTTGTCTCTGGGATTCGTGACATTTTTCACCTTCGTGCAAATTACCACATGTAAAATCCCCCTTGCTCACAGGTTGTCTTCCAACAGAAGGCGTCAGAAATATCTAGTTACTCTTAATTCAGTCTAAACCCTGCTCAGTCTTTGAAATTCAGTCACCCAGCTGACAAGGAGTGGGGGGAATTAAGACAAAGCCTGAGCTTGTCCTGGAAAGAGGTTATGCTTTCACTACCTCTTTTTAGATCAAAGCAGAGGCCGAGGCCCCCTCTCTTATTGTTGAACAATATTTCCATAGATTCCCCAGGCATATTGGCTATAGGGAAATTGAGGTGTGTGTGTGTTGGAGCGGGGGGCGGGGGTGGTCTATGATCTTGGGAAACATGAATTGAAGCAATCACTTTACCAATAGTTTCATCTGATTCTTTGTGGGCATCTCGTGCCTGGATTCCAAGAAAAGGCTGCTACCATTAGACCCGCTTTGCCACCACATCTCTCCTGCCTTCATGTGCCCTCCTGAGTGCTGTTAGTCAGTGAACTGTGACACCATCACTTGTTGACCCAGGACAGAATAAGTCTAATTAGAGAATAACATTATTCCCTGTGTACGAGTTTATCGAATAGACCACACTCTCAGACTATTCCTTACAAATTTCAAGTCGGGGCACAAGGTTTAACAAAACATTTTTAAATTGTTATGATTGTATTCTTCCTATTAATTTATTTACACGGAAAAATCTACAATTGCATAAATAAATCACATGCAGGTGCATAATTAACACTTTGTTTTAATAAATTAGCCTCTCTGCTGATAATAGGAAAAATCTATGACTACTTGAGAAAGAAACATTTTTTCTCTTATTCTCTGAAAGCAAACCAGAAGGTCTATACTTGGCATAAACTGTCACTTTTTTGTTATTATAAGGGAAGATCGTAAGATTTAAAGGACAGGTTCAGAAAATGAACAGAGTTAATAGAAGTTAAAACACACACACACACACACACACACACACACAATTGTTGGTTTAATTAATAAAATCAACTTTAGTCAAACTGCCAAAGCTGCTCTATCTAACCATCAAAGCACACCCCCCCCCCAATATTTAGAAATGAATACTATTTTGCTCTGGTTTCACATTCCTGATTTCTCCCACTGTTCTACACAGTGTTGATTTTGGATGCCAGGTGGGTGAACACACTTTCCTATTTCCTGCTTTTGTCTGCATCTCTCACAAGCAAAATGTATTTGCCTACTTCTGGAGTCTGTTTATTCTAAAACTGCTTATTGAGCATCCATTATGTGCTGGGCACTGTAAGTGTGGGGAGACATAGATACAACCTCTTTCCCCTCAGTGAGCACTCATACCAGGAAGGGCTCAAACAAGGAGATAACAGCCATGTGCGACAGATTCATGCCAGGAGTCTCGGATGTGCTACAGAGTCATGGCAGGGCCATAGAGGGAGATGACCAGGAATATGACAACCGAGTTTTGAAGAATAAACTGGATGTGGAAAACAGTTCAAAAAGATGGGACTACACATACAAAGACAGAGGGGCCAGAAAGAAATTGTGTTCTGAGAGAGGAAGGGTTCTGGGAAAGGAAAGGCATGATGGGCAAGTGGGTAGGCAGGACACTAAGATGTGGAGATAATGCAGGATGCAGGCTGGAAGCCAGGACACGCTAGGCGTCAAGAACTGATGAGGACGGAGGGAAGGCACTGACTGGCAGCAGGATGCCATGAAGGTGGGGGAAAGGACACTGACTTAAAGACGGGTGTTCTTGGGCTGGACACCAAGTGGGTATCACATGGATAATAAAGAGAAAAGGGATGTCTGCCAGGAAAATGCCAGGACCTCTTCCAGCACCTGGCAGAGGCATCTGGATGGATAAGGAGCCCATGTGAGAGGATGGGGAACCTGGACAAGGTGGAGGCTGATACGACGAGTTCAGTTTTTTGCTTGCTGAAACTGAGGTGCCTATGGCACATCCAAATGGAGACATAGGAGCTCTTCAAAGAGCTGCCCATAAATAGAAAATAGTGCCCTGGGACATGTATCTCATACAAGCACACTTTTAGTTTGTTATTAAAACATATACACAGCCAAAACTGGTTTGGCTCAGTGGATAGAGCATCGGCCTGTGGACTGAAGGGTCCCAGGTTCGATTCCGGTCAAGGGCATGTACGTGGGTTGCGGGCACATCCCCGGTGGGAGGTGTGCAGGAAGCAGCTGATCGATGTTTCTCTCATCATCGATGTTTCTAACTCTCTATCTCTCTCTGTTCCTCTCTGTAAAAAATCAATAAAATATATTAAAAAAAACATATACACACAATTCTTTATGTGTTCAATCCTGTAGATTAAAAAATATCTTTTATTTATATTTTTGCCCTTGGACCCTTTTGTGGTACATTAACCATTCCAGTGGATTGATTACTAAAAGCAAGAAATATCATCATAGATTATCGGACATAGAACTCTAGACATGATCCCATCCAATTTTCTTATTCTAGAACAGAAAACAGCTTTAGGGGGTTAGGTGGATGGTTCTGCATCCATGGCAGTAAAACAAGGCTTAGAATTAAGATCCTCCAATTCCCAATCTTTCTCTACATCTCAGTGTATCTGCTGCTTTTGACTTTCTAATCAAATGGATTAGTGAGCCTGGCCGGGTGGCTCATTTGGTTGGAGCATCCTCTCACATACCAAACAGTGGCAGGTTTGATTCCCAGTCAAGGCAAGTACCTAAGTTGTGGGTTCAACCCCAGGTTGGGGCACATACAGGAGGCAACCCAACTGATTTTTCTCTCCCTCTCTCTTTCTCTCTCTAAATCAATAAAAATTTACACTCAGGTGAGGATTTAAAAAAAAAAAAAAAGATACCATAGGAAGAAATTGAAATGTAGATGCCTTTTTTCCATGAAGAGGTAGTTAAGTATAGTTGAGTCATATAATACTTGGGAAATCTAGCCATGGTTTCTTCATCTATAAATGTGATAATGATCGTCGTATCACTGATGTGGTGCCAGTGGGTTGTGAAAGTGACAGTGATAGGGACTAGATATTTCTTAATCTGAACTCAAGGCCTGGATATGATGAGAAGAACCATGGTCTTGGAATCAGAAAAACAAATTCAAGTTCTGGTCCATACACTTACTAGCCATATATATTGTTTTCCCATGTTTGCTGTAACAAATGACCACAATAAGCAATGTATTAAAAAAGTGTTCTCTCACCCTAACCAGTTTGGCTCAGTGGATAGAGCATCGGCCTGGGGATTGAAGGGTCCCGGGTTCAATTCTGGTCAAGGGCATGTACCTTGGTTGCGGGCACATCCCCAGTTAGGGGGATGTACAGGAGGCAGCTGATCGATGTTTCTCTCTCATCGATGTTTCTAACTCTCTAGCCCTCTCTCTTCCCCTCTGTAAAAAAACAATAAAACATTTTTTTTTTTTTAAAGTATTCTCTCAGCGTTCTGGAGGCCAGAATTCTGAAACCAAGGGGTCGCAGAGCCACGCCCCCTGGGAAGGCTCTAGGGGAGAACTCTTCCCTGACTTTCCCAGTGTTGAGTAGCTCCAGGCACTCCTTGGCTTGTGGATGCCTGTTTTCACGTGATCTTCTCTGTTGTGTTTGTGTTCTCTCTTCTGTCTCTCATTAGGACACTCATCACTGAATTTAGAGCCCACCCAGGTAATTAAAAAGGATCTCATCCCAAGATCCTTAACTTACATTTGCAAAGACTCTTTTACCAAATAAGGTCACATGACAGGGTCTTAAAACCGTAGACGTAACTTTTTGAGGTGACTGCTTAGCCCACTACACCATATGACCTTGGGCAAATCACTAAATGTGAACGGGCGAGGGGATTTCAATACCTTCCTTTATCCACCTAAAGTCCATCATGAGAATTAAAAGAAATAACACACATGAAAGAAATTTGTAAAGAGTTATGTGAATGCTAGTTATTCTACTGACTTGGCCAGTAATTTATACAAAGATTTCAATAAGAGATTGATCTCCGCTCTAACCTTTTCTCCTTTCAGTCTAAAAATAGTTTTGCTGAAGCACAAGAATTTCAGACCAATCTTTTTCAAAGGGAAGGAGAAACATGTTACAATGTAGTCACTAAAGATAAGAAATGTTCAGAGAGAAATCATTGTCAGTTGTGTGCCTGCACAGACTTGAAAGACCAGAAAATGCCTTAGATGTTTTTCTAGAACAAGGCAAAGAATAAAGAAACAAAGAAATAAATTTTGTAGGTCAAACTGATAGAGTAGGTTTTTCCCTCTAAACTCTTTATTATAAACAAAAACAAACAAAAAAATCAACTTAGCCCTGGCCAGGTAGCTCAGTTGGTTAGAGTGTGGTCCCAATACACCAGGTTGTGGGTTCGATATCTGGTCAGGGCACATACAAGAGGCAACCAATGAGTACATAAATAAGTGGGACAACAAATTGGTGGTTTTCTCTTTCTCTCTCTTTCCTTCCCTATCTCTCTCTCTATAATTAATCAATCAATAATTTTTAAAAACTTAAAATATATATATATTGATTTCTCATATTCTCCTGCTTATATTTTAAAATTGTTGCCATTTGCCACATTTGCTTTATCTTTATATATGTAAATAGATGGAATATTCCCAGCCATTTAAAAGTAGGTCAAAGCATGACACTTCATCTCTGTTTATTTCAGATAGCATCACCAAAAACACTTTCTTCTATACAAGCAAAATGTCATTATCATTTTAGAAAAATTAGCAATAATTCTACACAGTAATCTAATAGTCTCAATTCTCTAAATATTCTAATTCTCTAATTAACACCCAAATGTCTTTTGTGGCTGTATTTTTTTTTAAAAAAAACCAGTATCCAAACAAGATCTATGCAATGCATTTGGTTGTTATATCTCTTTAGACTCTCTTAATATAGCACAGTCCCACCCCCTTTTTCTTTTCCTTGACACTGACTTTTTTTTTGAAGAGACCAGCCCTCTTATTTGAGTGCAGTGCTGGAGTCCATGGAAAAATGGAATTCTATTACTCATCAGCACTGAAAAGAGCTGTGTATGTGGATGCCAAGGTTCTACATGTCCCTGCCCCAGCCTTCCTCTGTCAACGGAGCAGTAGAGCATGTCTTACAAATGCATTAGAAGGCTTCGGCCTCAGAGAAGGCTACTAGTATGTGCTTTCCCCCAGAGAAGGGGCCTGGGGAGGCTAGAGAGACCATCACCTGTTGTGATAACCCTTCTGTTCTGCTTTGCTACTTTCATGATCATTATCAGGGTATGTTGGAGCTGGAGGCTGAGCATGACCAGGACCTGCAGAGTAAACAGGATGAGCAAGAAACACATGATGCTCAATGTGAGGACCCTCAACTCTCCACATCTTTGCAGTCTTCAGGGAACATCCCTAAACTGTAAGCTTCGACATAAGCTAAAGGAAATGTGTAATATGTTTTGTGGAGGGGAAAATGGAATTTAGCAGAGAAGTTAGGGAAAGCTTTGGAGATTTAAAATACATATTTGAATTAAACCATGAAGCACTCATGTGCTCAAGTAACTACACGTTCAGCAAGAATGCAGAATGAAGACATTTCTAAGGATATAGGTAGAGCCATATCACTCTCAGACAATTTTCTAGATATGGAAAGTTTTCTAATTATCATTAAAATATATTGGTAGGCCGAAACCGGTTTGGCTCAGTGGATAGAGCGTCGGCCTGCGGACTGAAGGGTCCCAGGTTCGATTCCGGTCAAGGGCATGTGCCTGGGTTGCGGGCATGTCCCCAGTGGGAGATGTGCAGGAGGCAGCTGATCGATGTTTCTCTGTCATTGATGTTTCTAACTCTCTATCTCTCTCCCTTCCTCTCTGTAAAAAATCAATAAAATATATTAAAAAATATATATTGTTAGGCTTTTGTAGACCCTTTCCCGATTGTATACCTCTCCATCCCGCTGAGCTGCCACCACTATCCTGAAATCAATACTTAACATTCACTCTATACAGGGAAATTAAAAAGACATCTATTGTTTTTACTAAATATAAAAAAAGACTTTATTTTCTCCATTCTTGAAAAGATCTGTTATAATGGGTATCAAATACATTCCCAAACTTCTTTCTTGAGGCCTAACTGCCTCTGGGGCCTATTTTGATGACAGAAAATGAATAAGCAAACCAACTTACCCTTTAAAAGAAGAGGGTTTGGACCATGGGAGATGTTTCCCATTGTTTTTACCTTAAAACTGATTATAATCATATTTTTGCAGGAGTCAGGAGAACATGTTTTTCCAGCTAAACCACTGGAATACACAGATGGGTCTACAAGTGAAAGAACTCGGAGATGATCACATGGGCTGGATGAAGAAAATTAACAGTATTATACAAAAAGTAACCATATCAGAAAGCACAGTGAAGAGGTAATTGTAAAGTGCTGAGGTTGGTCAGAAAATGATTAAAGTTTTCATAGCTTCAGAAATGTTAGAAACTTGGGGCTTAAGGTGGTAAAGTTCTTAAGAAAGTCTCTAGGATGAGAAGTATAAAGTCTTATGTTAGAAGTTAATGTCACGCCTGTCAGAATGGCTATCATCAATAAATCAACAAACAACAACAAGATGGGGAGGATGTGGAGAAAAAGGAACCCTCATGTACAATTGGTGGGAATGAAGACTGGTGCAGCTACTGGGGAAAGCAGTATGGAGTTACCTCAAAAAATTAAAAATTAAACTGCCATATGACCCAGTGATTCCACTTCTGGGGATATATCCAAAGAAACCCGAAACACTAATGCAAAAGAATATATGCATCCCTATGTTCATTGCAGCATTATTTACAGTAGCCAAGATTTGGAAGCAGCCCAAGTGCCCATCAGTAGACGAGGGAATAAAAAAGCTGTGGCACATTTACACAATGGAATACTCCTTAGCTGTAAAAAAGAAATCTTACCTTTTGCAACAGCATGGATGAACCTGGAGAGTACCAGCATTAAGCTAAGTGAAATAAACCAGTCAAAGGAAGACAAGTACCATATTTCACTTATATGTGGAATCTAATGAATAAAACAAATTGGGGAACAAAATAGAAACAGAGTCACAGATACAGAGAACAGGCTGACAGTTGTCAGAGGGGAGGTGAGCTGGGTGAAAAAGGTGAAGGGATTATGAAAAAAAAGAAAGAAAGAAAGAAAGAAAGAAAGAAAGAAAGAAAGCAAGAAAGAAAGAAAGAAAGAAAGAAAGAAAAGAAAACCCCCTGGCCAGAAAGTTCAGTTGGTTGGAGCATCATCCTGTACACCAAAAGGTTTTGATCTGACCCCTGGTGAAGTCATGTATAGAAGGCAACTGATTGACATTTCTCTCTCACCTCTATCTATCTATCTATCTATCTATCTATCTATCTATCTATTTATCTATCTATCTATCTATCGATCTAATCTTCCTTGGGTAAGGATTAAAAAATTGCAAAAATAAAATCCCCCAAACATCATAGACACAGACAATAGTATGGTGATTATCAGTGGGGGGAGGTAGAAGAGGGCAAAAAGAGGATAAATGGTGATGGAAGGAGACTTGACTTGGGGTGGTGAATGCACAATAAAATATACAGATGATGTATTATAGAATTGTACACCTGAAACCTATAATTTTATTAACCAACTAGAGGCCCAGTGCATGAATTCATGCACAGATGGGGTCCCTCAGCCTGGCTGGCAATCCGGGCTGTCTCGCCCAGTCCCAACCGGGGCAATGGGGGCTGGCTGGCCAGGGAGGGACCATGGGAGGGCTCCAGGGCATGTCTGGCCCTCTCACCCAGTTCCGATTGGCTGGACCCCAGCAGCAAGCTAACCTACCAGTTGGAGCATCTGTCCCCTGGTGGTCAGTGTGCACCTTAGTGACTGGTTGAGTGGTCAACTGAACAGTTGACTGGTTGGACACTTAGCATACTATGCTTTTATTATATAGGATGTCACCCCAATAAGTTTAATAAAAAATAAAACAGTGAACATATAAAAAATTAAAATGTATTGCTTTTTCTAAAAATACCAAAGTTAATATCACAAAATCTCAAAGCCTATACCAAAGTTATCTGCATCTTCTCTTAAGGGAATGACTTCCCTTATAGGTTCTTTCAATTGTAGACCCATCAGTGTATTCCAGAAGTCATGCTAATAGGTATCAAAGGAGGGTTTATAGGTCCCCAGTGATCCTTGAGTTTTATCCAGTACTATCTAAAAGAATCCCACCAGTTCAGCATGAAAAAATATTAAATTGTATTTGTTTAATGCATATATGATTTTAAGTGCAAAGTTTTAAGATGAAACAGGAAAAATAAAATTGTTATCTATCTAATCACTGGTATAGAGAGAATGGACTTTGGAGTTAGAAGGACCCAGGCTTGAATCCTGACATTGGCATTTCTTGGATAAGTTAATCAGCCTTTTCTGACTCTACTTTTATTGTCTATAAAAAAGGGACTGATGACAGCCATTTCATTGGTTTCTTGTGGGAATTAAATAAACTACTGTAGGTAAAGAATTTAACACAGTGTCTGATACACAATAAACAATAAATGCAAGTTATTCTTAGAAATAAATTCCTCTGGCCTTCTGAACCATCCTACCACATTCTAAATGCTTTCCCACTGCAGGGCTACTCTTCCTGTAGGCACTTTCTCGCCTTTCAGTTAATATCTTCCCAAGGAGTTAAGCATTACCATGCCTTTCACTTAAATATCGCTTCCTAGCAGCTTTCTTCTGACAATCCTACCCCAAATAGCTCTTTTTCTTCCAAAACACTAATATTTGCTTTTTAAAAGAGTTTGTGGTTTTTATTCAAATCCTATACATTAATTTTAATTACTTTAAAAATTAAAGCATAATTTATATAAAGTAAAATTATTTTTTTAAAAAAATATTTTAATTTTATATATAGAGAAAGAGAGAAACACCTCTTGGCTGCCTCCTGCGTACCCCCTACCAGCGATCAAGCCTGAAACCTGGTCATGTGACCTGACCTGGGAATGGAACTGGTAATCTTTGTGCATGGGACAACGCCCAACCAACCGAGCCACACTGGTCAGAGCAAAATTATGTTTTTATTGCAAGTTTTGAAAAATGCATACAGTTATACAGCCATCACAGTGACATAGAACACTTTCACCACTCATCAAATCTCATGCCTTTTGGGTTAACCACTCTCCCCTGGCTAAGTTGCTGGTCAACACTGATCTGCTCTCAATCCCTACAGTTTTGCCTTTCCCAGTCTGTCACATAAATAAAATTGTACTGTATGCAACCTTTTGAGTTTATCTTCTTTCACTTAGTCTAATACATTTGAGATTCACCTATTTTGTTGCATGTATCAGCAGTTTGTTTCTTTTTGTTGCTGGATAGTATTCCATTATGCAAATATATCACAGTTTATCCATTCACTAATTGAAGCACATTTAGTGTATTTTTGGCAATAAAGACACACAGATTTTTGGCTATTCAATTTTAAATATATATATATTTTTGCTTTTCCATGTAGATTTTAGAATCAGCTTGTCAACTCTTGTGATTTTTTTTTTTTTTAAAAAACTACCGTTAATAAATTTTGGAAGAGTTAACATTTTATCATATTGACTCCTTCACTTAATGAATAGAGTATATCACTATATTTATTTAGGCCTTTGATTCCTTCTAACAGTGTTGCATACTGTTCATTGTAGAAATATGAAATATTTTTTATTTCTTTAGGTTCATGCCTATGTATTCATGCTTTTGGTACTACTATAAATGGTACTTTAAAATTTTCAACTCCTAATAGTTAATTGTTGTTATATAGAGTTGATTTTTGTGCATTAACCTGTCTTGTGACTTTAATAAACTCATTTATTATCTCCTGTAGTTTTTGTAGGTTATTTGGGATTTTCCACATAGATAACCATATTATGAGCAAATAGAGACAGCTTTATATCTTCCTTTCCAATCTATACGCCTTTTACTTCTTTTTGTTGCCTAGTTGTATTGGCTAGAACCTCTCTAGTACAATGTTGAATAAGTGGAGAGATAGCAGCTAGTGGACATACTTACCTTGTTTTGTTGATGTTAGATGCTTTTTAAAAAATATATTTTATTGATTTTTTACAGAGAGTAAGGGAGAGGGATAGAGAGTTAGAAACATCAATGAGAGAGAAACATCAATCAGCTGCCTCCCACACACTCCCCACTGGGGATGTGCCCGCAACCAAGGTACATGCCCCTGGCTGGAATCAAACCTGGGACCTTTCAGTCCGCAGGCTGACGCTCTATCCACTGAGCCAAACCGGTTAGGGCACCATTATATTCTTCTATTAAAATAAATTTTAA